CAACCAAATGGACCAAGAAAAAAATCATGCCAAAGCAACAGCCCCCAGGAAGCAACAAGGTAATCTGCCCAGTCATTCGGTATTATTCAGGGGAAAGGGCTGTGCATAACACAACCCTTCATTAACTTCAGTGTTTTAAGGAAAATACTGAAGTTAATGAAGCTAGCACACTGTACATGTGTGAATGCAAGGTTTAGCATGCTTTACCATTTCTATTTAAAAACAGCCTACAGCCTCCTATGCACATCAGGCTCCTGACATGGGGAATGGCCATTCTCGCACCTTCATCTTCTCACCTTCATGTTTCTGTTCTGTCTGCGAAATAGCGAGCCATCCTCACCCCTCACCCACAATTTTACAGTGAGATTCCCTTGGACCTTTCTTGTTTCTTGAGCAGGGACATTTTCTCTTTTCTGCCTGAAGTTTGGAACAGAGCCTTGCTTCTGAGCCAACTTGGGCTGAGTATCTGCCCCCAAAAACGTGTGCAGGGCTTTCTGAGCATGGACCTTGGACAAAGCAGGGAATGTAGGTTCATCAGACTACAAAGACCAGTTCCCCTGGAGAAAATTAATGCTTTGGAAGGTGGGCTTTATGGCATTGTACCCCACTGAGGTCCCTGTCCTTTCCAGGCTCCATCCACAAATTTCCAGGAGTTTCCCTGCCTGAAGCTGGCAACCCTGTCCCTCATCCCACTTCCCCCCATGCAAACTGTGCTAGCAGAAAAAAGAGTTGCTGTTTGAGAGCATCTCCCAATTGACACAAGAGCAAATGCACTGAAGTCAATGGGGCTCCTCTCATGTAAATCTGTATTCCAGGTAAGAGAGGCAAAGTGAGTATGCAAGTGGAAAAACTAGGGAGAGCTTGCGGTTTAGCAGGGGACCATCAGACAAAGTGCAGGAGGCTGAGAGGGGATGCAGTGCTTGGCAGAGTGATCGTGGAGCTGTCAAAATAGAGTGGTGTTTCAGTTAAGTGTTTCTGCGCATGCCTAAAAGCGATTTTTTAAAAAGGATGCCACCCAACAGTGCGCTCCAGGGTAGACTTGTAGCAATAATCTCAATGATTGACCATCGAGGAAGTGCACTGTGAAGCCGGCTCATGGCGGGGTGTCTGATCAAAACTTTCAGTTACAACATAATACGGCATACTTAAAGGCATGCCTAAACCATGCCAAGCCTGTCATCTGACCACAGCCATCTTCAGTGGAAAAAGGGGGATTTAGAAGATGAGTTGAATCAAGCAGCTAAGTTACCAATTCTGAAATCCTGGTGTGGATAAAGTATTTTATTGTTATGATAGCTTGTTGGACTGAAACCATAACTTCCTTTCTAACATGCTAACACTTGGGTTTACACCTGGGTTTTTAACAAAATCTATGGTAAGTTTACAAAAAGAAAAAAAAGTAATACCTTATGTTTCAGCCAAAAAGATACAACAAAACAGTGTGCTAGTTTTTGTGTTTTTCAGAGCTCTTCATTAGTAGGGACAGTGAGAGGGGAAGATGTTGCAGGCAGTGGTCTTAAGCTTTCTTGTCATCATCCTGTGTAGAATTACAGGCAGATTTGAATAGATGACATGGTATTGGATGGAGCTGGAGGTGTTATCACATTTTACTTTCAGCCTTCTGGGTACAAGAAGGATGAAAGGAAGCATCCAACTGAAATTATTAAATCAATACTTGATCAAGTGTCTCGCTGGTACCAAACAGAACACACAGCTTAAAAGCCAAGGACAAGAGGAAAATATGAACTATTATCATTATTGGTTGAGTTTTTGATCATATGTTGGAGTTGAGAACAGGTGCCTAACTGTTGGGTGTTACAAGTCAAAACACTTCAGTATTTACAGGGTTAATGATGTTTGTCACATGTTTGTTTGTAACCAATCTGTTTAGACAATAGAATGCCCGGGAATTTTGGAGCTAACTTGCTAGTCTGATTGGAAACCAATGTGTCAAGTATTTAGCATATTGGCTTCTCTTTCCTCTCTTTGTTCTGACTGAGAAGGAGATGCCATTCTCTTCCTGTTTTACCTTTTAGCTGTAAGGATGTAGCCATATTAGCTCTTTGTTATTTTCATATCCTGGTTACCTTTTTCACATTTTAGGTTTTTAGGCCCCTGCCACACGGCAGGGGATAAGTCGCTCAAAGCGCGGCTTTTAAAAGCCGCGCCAAAGTTGAGACGCCGCGGCGGGATCCCACGGATCCCCTGGGCCGTGGCGCCTTTTCTCCCTGGCACGATCAGATGCCGGGGAGAAAACACAGTTCAGACGGGGAGCCTGCCGAACTGCGCATGTCGGAGCATGCGCAGTTCGGCTAGGAGCCGGGGATGCGCCGGCGCAAAGACGCGCCGGCGATCTGACGGCCCGGCTTGCGGCGCCTCGTCGAGATGAACCACCTAGGTAGGTGGTTCTAAGTTGATGCACTGTTTCGGGCAGAAGGGCCGGTTTGGGGACAGAAGCACTACACTTCCCAGATGTTGTGGTGGAATCGCGCCCGTTTGCTGCGTCCCCGAACTGTCCTTCTACCGGACCAAATTCATCCATGTGGACGGGGCCATAGTAAACTTTTATATTTTAAAACACACCATGGACTCAGTCTCTTAAAACTCTGCTGACTTACTCAAAAGAATCCCAACACTAACATTATTTATTGCTTCTTCTCTTGACAGCCAGTTCACATTATTTGTGTTTTCAGGCTTTCCCCTCAAAGTTCCTGGTCTGTATAAAAAGAGAACAGGGTAGTCCCATGAAACGGAGATCTTTTCCCCACCCCTTCAGAATATGTACAAGAACGTCTTTGTTTTTTTCATTGTAGTGAGGTAACTTTTTATTTGGTCATTAGGTACTGCTATAGTGCTATTAGCTGTGCAAACAGCACAATAGTAACACCTAGAGAGAAATTAGATGCATTACTGCAAAGCAAAGAGTACAAAAACCATTTAAAGAAGGTGCGATATAAACAGCCTTCAGTGCTTTTAAGTGTAGTGAACATATACCAAAAAACTCTCTGAATTAATTGTGTTTACATATATTTAACAATTCTTGTTCTTTAACATCCAAATCCTAGAGATATGAGGATCATTAATGGTGCAGCTAAAAACATCTGCCAATTTAGTTAGAGCAACACCCTATAGAAAAGGGCCTCCAATTATGCTATGGGTCATTCTGTGTGTAAGATGAACTGTTTTAGAAGCAAGGACAAGGGTGCACAGGGTAAGTACTTAGTCACAAATATTTTCCTCCAGCTCATAAAGTCACTCCTTAGAAAATACGGTCCTTTCCCCACTGTGACAGCAGAAGTTTTCCCCAACCTGATCTAAAAATCACTTCTGACAAAATTTGTCTTAAAAATGAAATAAAACATATACAAGAGTTGTCATAAAAGTTTATGGACCTTCTGGGTAAAGCTACTGGGTCTCTCAAAACAGACATAATCTTTTTTCCATTTATATACACCTGAGCTAATATAGAAGTTGAAGCATTATTAGAACTGTGATAATCACTAGAGAAGGCTGTGAGCAAACATTCATCAGTGAGATGGATGTACTTGCTTTCTGGCTGCACAAGTCTGTGGTTCTGCAACTAAAAATAAGCAATGATGGTTCTAAGAGTTTGCATTTGTATGATTTGTTGAGATCAAGTAATCTTTTTGTGGACAAGATCTAGAGTCTTATTTAGACCCTCATTTTATTTGTTTGCTGGATTGTGTCCAGCCTTTCTTCTGAGGAGCTCAAAATAACTTTATTTGTTATGTATTTGGTGTAGTAGTTAGGAGCACAGACTCTAATCTAGGAGAACTGGGTTTGATTCCCCACTCCTCCACTTGCACCTGGCTGGATGACCTTGGGCAAGCCGTAGTTCTGATAAGAGCTGTTCTTGAAAAAGAGCAATTTCTGTCAGAGCTCTCTCAGCCCCACCTACCTCACAGGGTGTCTGTTGTGGGGAGGGGAAGGGAAAGGAGTTTTTAAGCCACTCTGAGACACCTTTGGATAGTGAAGGGCGGGGTATAAATCTAATCTCTTCTTCTTCCTCCTCCTCTTCTTCTGCCTCTTTTCCTTATGGAGATCAAAGCAGTGTATATAGAAACCCCAGGAAGTCCAGTCACAAACTAGACCCCAAAGAATTAGTGTCAGTACCCCAGCCTCAGTCCTGCCGGTGTGGCCATGAGTATGTCCACAGCATCCAGAATATGAGTCATTGTGTGTTGATGATTTGAATATAATCTTCTCTTCAGTTTAACCTTTAAAAATGAAATTATTAATGAAAAGACAATTTTACATAATTTATGGTGTCATAAACTGGAATTTCCCATTCAATAATTAACAGATAGTACCTTGGTTATGTGCTATTGTGCTGTAGGGTTCACTATGTAATTGGATGTGTGCTTTATTTTGAAAATTGTGATTGCTATGAATGATATTTCTTAGGTTTCATGTTTGTGATACTAGATGAATACCATGATTATAAATCCAAAAGGAGTTCGCAAGACAGCTTGATATTCTAAACCAACATATTTGTAAAACGTTTGTATTTGCTGGTTAGAAAAGCCTTGCTTATTTCAACCCTGAATGACTTTAATCTTTCTTTCAAAACGTACACATACACTTTGAGAGAATTCTCTGAATTGTCAGAGGCTTACTTAGAGGAGCCTCATTTTAATTGCAAAAGCAAATGTGAACTCTTGACTTATTTTTTGCTCATTTGTTTTATTTGCTTAATCATAATAGAATACATTCTTTACTGTCCATCCAGTTGATAGATTGACTGTCTAAATCAGAGGTAGATTGTATGATGACAAACTGACTCATTTATTTCCAGCCATAATAAGAAACTGCTCCAAGGAATCAGAATGATCATCCCAGAGAATTAGGACTGAAAATCATGAGAGCTAAAATGTATAGTTTGGAGTCTCTGTAGCCACCCTTGCTCTTCATCTGCTGATTCATGTGTATTCAGAGGCAGCAGTTACCTAGATATTTGTGTTTTGTTTATTTTCCTCTAGGATTGCCCACAGCTGTTCCCTACAGAAGAGATTTTGATCCCTGTTGGTGAGGTGAAGCCCATCACCTTGAAGGCCAGAAATTTACCACAGCCTCAGTCTGGTCAGCGTGGCTATGAGTGTGTCCTCAACATCCAAGGCGTGATTCATCGTGTGCCTGCTCTTCGCTTCAACAGCTCAAGTGTCCAGTGCCAGAATAGCTCAGTAAGAGCCTTGGGTTGGGGCAGGATTGTCGGGAAAGGGAGAAGAGTGAGAAAGCAGTCTCTGTGTTAAAGGATGTGGGAAATGATGTTAGGATAGGAAAGATACAAATAAAGAACATATATGAAATTGTATGAGATCCAAGATAAACATGCAGTGGCATGAACTAGTGGAATGATGTAACAGAGTGATGCTGTCAGTAGAATATACCAGCCATGGGAAGGGGGAATAGAGAGTACCAAAATGTTCTTCTCTTTCTCAGTCCCCTGGCAGGTTTCCAGGTAATTACAGTGAATGATGTACACCTAGGTTAGCATATCTGAAACAATGACCTTGCTAGAATTTATATGATAATTTATCAGAAATGAATCAGTGGTCCCTATTTATTAAGAGTCTCTCAATATAGTCCTAAACAGAGTTGTATCTTTCAAAGTCCACTGACTTAAATAGACTTAGAAAGGTGTCACACAGTTTAGGATTTTAGCGTATGTCTCTCACTTTCAACATGTTTTCAGTCTTCCATCAAATTAGAGACTGAAGCATCTTGATACAGCCATTCATACTACAAAAGTTGGAAGTGAAGTCATGTGGGTATCATATCTTATTTATATAATCATTTATATAATCATTTATCATTACATTATATAATCATATAATCATCATTTATATAATACCCCAACAAAGTTTTCCTCTGCTGTGTAAGACTTGTGCTTCCTCCCTACCTTATTACAAAACTTGGAAGTGAAGTCATGTGGTCCAAAGCAAAAAGGAAAACCAACTAGTTCAGTGGTAGACTTTTTTTTTTTGTCTGACAATTTAAACAAATATTCAGTAAATAGGTCTCCCAGGAATGGGTATACAAACCTTAAATATGGGGCATTTACTTTTTGTATCCATTCATCATGACTGCCCATTTCTTAATGCCAGGGCTGGCTGTTGCATTCCACAATGCTAGCTTTTCTGCCTAGCATCTTTGAGAAGGGCTTCTATTATCCTTGATCATTGGAGGCATACCTTCCTCACATTTTTCCTCATCTTCAAAGTACTGAAAGTGGCTGAAGTATGCATGAGGAACAGTATAGAAGGTAAAAGAAAGGCACAAGGAATCATTATTCCATGTGGTGAAACCAAAAAGAGGGGGGAGGGAGCAAGAGAGAGAAACGGGGGTTAAACTAATCCTGAATTCCAGGAGGGAATATGCTACAGGCAAGTGAGGTGTTTAATTAGAATCCTGGCCCCAGAGAAGATCTTTTATCTGTCAGCTTTCCCCCCCCCCTCATCTGTGACTGTGGGGGGTCAGGGAAGGGGGAGTTGGGGCAGGGATGTGACAGAGGTGTTAAGGCAAAGCTAATTCACACAGGAGAGATAAAGAGAATTGCAGGCCGCTTATCAGGGAACTGTCAAATTCCAGGCTGCAGCAGCATGATAGAATGTGTAATACTGGAAAGCTGCCTGTTGCTGGGAGAGGAAGGGTTAGGAACAGGGATGAGAGTGAGAGAAGGAAGAAATGAAAAGTAACCTCCATGATAAAAGCACAACCAAGAATGGCCTCTGCATTCTTGCCTGTTGAGAAACAAGATTTTGGATGATTTGACAGGAGTATCCAAATGGACAAGAATGATGTTGGAATCAATCCAACCAGTCCTATAAAAACAGTCTTTGTTGCTTTGTAGAAACTTCATTTTTTTAACCTAGAAATAATCCAAAATTATATATTATTGGATTAATTGATCATTTAACTTTGTTGCAAGTGTTTCATTCATCATTTATTATGTTGGAATCAATCCAACCAGTCAAGACAATCAGCTTTTACCGCATCTCCAAGTCCTATAAAAACAGGCTTTGTAGAAACTTCATTTTTTAAACCTAGAAATCCAAAATTATATGTTATTGGATTAATTGATCATTTAAATTTGTTGCAAGTGTTTCATTCATCATTTAGAGTAAAAGTAAAAGAAGGTCTGATTGCACAAATGTCCAGTGGCTTAACCTCTTTATGTGGCAGTAATAAAGTAAGGCAGGAGGATAGAAGTGCAATAATAAAGTTGGGCAGAAGTATGGAACACCCAGGTAGTGTGTTCAAACCTTCCCTACAGCATTCACTTAAAGTTTGTTTGTTTGTTTGTTCCTGTGGCTTTCCAGGGGGTTGAAGACCAGTGATTTAGGGCAAGAGTTCTAGCTCAGTGATAGAACATATGCCATGCATGTGGAAACTCACCAGTATAAATTCTTGGCATTTCTACTTAAAAAGGGATGACAGGTATTTTTAAGACCCTTCCCTACCTGAGATCCCAAAGAGCAGCTGCCAGGCAGAGGAGATGGTACTGGCTGCAGTCTGTCATGTCTTTAGATATGACTTCAAAGCTGATGCCTGGTGGATCTAAAGTGCATGATCAGACAGCAACATCTGTAAAAGGTTCTGCAGTTTTCAGCACCCCACCCTGGTCCACCCCTGAAGTGGAGTAAAAAGACACCTGGGAAACACCGGTTCTAATGCTTGCCAATGGGCCGCGGATGGAGTTTCCCTAGTCTGATCACTCAAGCGCACTCTCAGGCTGTCAGGATGCTTTGCTCATTCCTTCCTGTCTGGGCGCCATTTTTTTTGGCTTGCTTAGCGATATGCACACAACCGCATAATTGTCTCCATCTCTAGGCCAGCTTTGGAAGTGAGCAGGAAAGGGAGTGATATTTGTCAGGTGACCACAGCTTGCAGTGAACCAAGGGGATCACAGTGCTCCGTGGAAGGATCGGCGAGTGGTCAAAGTGAAGAATCAAATCCCAGAAGTTGGAAAGCACATGTGCAGAAAACTGCTCCCTCATTCATGTGCATGTGCAAAAGGAGCCAAAAAAAATTCCTCACCTGTCCACACCATCTGATTGCTCAGTGACAGGCTGATCCCGCAGCGAAACAAAATGTCTGATTGAGCAATTCTGTTCCAAAAGCCAACAGATGAAATAGGAGCACTTCCTGACCATGCCAAATGGCACGTCTGACCGCAGCCCTGAACTTGATGGACGAATGTACTGACTCAGCATAAAGTAGCTACATATGCCTAAATTGTCACAGGTGCCTGTATTTAATAGCTCTTTGCATTTTAAAACTACAAATAAATATTTCATTACTGTGGCTCTCAGCTTCCTGGGACATACACCCCTGAAAATACATGAATAAGGGAGACTTACAATGCTATGTGGTTCCTATATAGACAGTTATTTCCATGTAAGAAAATTGTGGAAATCTCTTATGTGGTGGTCACAGCTAGCAGTTGCTAAGCATATAAAATGCTTTTGTTTCAGTCCTTTTCAAATGCTTAAGGACCCCAGCTAAGCAATAATCTAATCTTCCCCTGCTCACATGAGTATGTTCTTAGCTCCCTTGTTCTGGTACAGTCCCTGAATCCAGAGAGTTAAATAATGAATGGGCTTTGTAACAACCGCAACAGAAAATTCAGATGGTACTGGCTCACTGGCCCCTAGACTCATATCGAACTGTTCAGAATGCTTTCTGGAATGCATTTGTTTATCATAATCATAACCTCACAAACAGCTGGGGAGTAAAAAATAGGCACTATAATAAAAACCAGTTACAAAAGAGGAAGTCCTACTTCACAGGCTTCATCTTCTGTTATAGCACTGCCGTTACTACTTGTCTTCTTTCATTTTTCCTATAACATTTTTGACCTTGACTGGGTACTTCAAAGTTATTTTGCTTACATTTCCGATTAGTGTCTCTGCAGCCAAAATGACACTTATGCTGTAATGTGTGAATTCTGAAGTGCTCAGTCTTCATGACAATGAGCTTTGTAAGAACATATGAAGAGCCCTGGTGGATCAGACCAATAGTCCATCCAGTCCAGCAACCTATTTTACACAATGACCAACCAGTTACCCCGAAGGGCCAACAAACAGGTCATAGAACAGGCTTCATCTTCTTGCTGAGAAAGGATAGTGTGCAAAATATGCCTCATTAAGTGAGGGATCTGAGTGGTAAGAACAGGCTGCATGGATTGGGTCATTAATTTATTACTTCTCTCAAGGGCTCTTGACAGATTTAATTGTCTCTTTGTGGTATGATGTGTGTCTCACTATGCAGGTGATGGATACTGTCAATCGTTCAGATCCTTTCTCACTTTCCTAAGCAATATACTGTTAAAATGCAGATAAATAAATAATAGCTCTGCCCTTAGTCCTTCTCTCAGAGAAGTAATATTAATATATTAATGCCCTTGTTCCCTAGTATCTCTATGATGGAATGGACATCAGTAACTTAGCAGTAGATTTTGCTGTGGTTTGGAATGGAAACTTCATCATCGACAACCCAGAGGATTTGAAAGGTAACAATATTAATTTATTTGATTTTTTTTGGTTAAATGGCGTTATGGGCTAGATAGAAATCTGATCAGGAAATTCAGGATTCTGTGTTTCGTAAACTCCTGTGGTACTGCTATATTTTCATTTCAGGCTTAATGAAAACTACATAATTCCAATACATTTTTTAAAAAAATCCTCTTTCACTCAGATGTCCTGCACATGCCCTAGGGAAGATTTTGTATGACATCGCCTGAAACGGTCCAAATGGGATTTCTTTGTGCAACTATTTAGTGGGGATAGAAGCGATTAAGAATTGCACAGGTACATGTGTACACATATTTCATATATTTATAAACCACATTTTCCCCTGGAAATACATTCAGATGGACATGCAATATTATGTAATAAATCAAAATACAATAATTAAACGTCTACAATTAAAAGCTAAGATTATAAAGCCAGTGGAGCCAAGAACTCAAAGAGGCCCGTATCGTTCAGTCATTTGAAAGGCTGTGTTCATGCCCTTCATGGGATTTTTCTCCATTACAGTGGAAGCTAGTTTTCACTATGATGCTTTATGTCCATTTCTAAGTCAAGGAAAAGATCACAGGAAATGTCTTCATAACCCCCTTTCTTTGAAATGGGACTCAAGGCCAGTTTCAATCATAATAAAAATGTACAATCAAGATTCCGTTACATCTAACAAACATATATAATCAAAAATTAGGTGTCAAAATTCCTTTTGAATAATTCCACCATGCATAACTTGTGAAAACAGAAAAGCAGAAGCCTTTCTAACAACTTCAGAAAGGCAATTGCATAAAATAGGAACAGCCACTGGAAAAACTCTAGACCTAGTGAGAGCTATCTTAACTACACTACAGGAGGGAATAACCAATAGGTATTGGTCCAAGGGGCAGAGCTGTACTGGGAGAGGCAGTCCTCCAGGTATATGGGTCATAGGCCATGAAAGGCTTTAAAGGTAACAACCAGCACCTTGAATTGAACTCAGAAACAAACTAGTAACCAGTGCAGAGATTTCGAAATGGGTGTAATGTATGCCAAGCAACCTCTCTCATGGATCACTGCCTTGACATGGTGAGGGGACTTGCATGGTTCAATAAGGCAGTGGGCTATGCTATGGAGGGCCACCCAGGATGGACAGGCCACAGCAGAGAATTCAGACAAAATGTGATCCACTGGAGAAGGAAATGGCAACCCACTCCAGTATCTTTGCCAAGAAAACCCCATGGACAGCAACAAAAGGCTAAAAGATATGATGCCAGAAGATGAGCCCCTCAGGTCGGAAGGTGTCTAATATGCTTCTGGGGAAGAGCAGAGGGCAAGTACAAGTAACCCCAGAAAGAGTGAAGTGGATGGGCCAAAGCTGAAATGACGCTCAGTTGTGGATGTGTTTGATGGTGAAAGGAAAGTCTGATGCTGCAAAGAACAATACTGCACAGGAACATGGAATGTAGGATCTATGAATCAAGGTAGACAGTGTTATCAATGCAATGAACATGAAGTTGAACACACTCCAAAGGACAACAGAGGACAGGAGGGCCTGGTGTGATGTGGTCCATGGGGTCGCAAAGAGTCAGACTCGACTGTGCGACTGAACAACAACAACAGTGCCAAGCAACCAAGAACATAAGAGAAGCCAATGTTGGATCAGGCCAATTGCCCATCCAATCCAACACTCTGTGTCACAACTATGGTTGCCAGCCCCCAGGTGGGAGCAAGGGATCCCCCAATTTGGCAGGCTCCTGCCCACTGCCAGCCAGCTGGCCAGTGGGGGAAGCCCCACCCCCAACAGCCACCACCCAGTGTAACGTCCCCAGCCTGATGACATCACATAGAAGTGACATCATTACACCCGGGATATTGTGCAGCAACTCACCGGTAACCTGCCCCCTGTACTCTTGGAGAGGTCCCTCCAACCACTGCCAGCAAGCAAAGAGGATCTGGCAACCCTACAAGCAACTGGCCACTGCTCATAAGAGGACTGCTGCATTTTGTACCAGTTGACGTTTCCAGATAATCTTGAAAGTCAGCCCCAATAGGACATACTATAGTAGTGCAGTCTCAGGTTACTGTTGCATGGATCAGCATGGCCAGATTCACAGGCTCCAAGAAGTGGGGCACCTCTGAACAAGATGTAACAAGCAGAAAAGATTCACAGGCTCCAAGAAGTGGGGCAGCCTCTGAACAAGATGTAACAAGCAGAAAACACTTTTTGCAACCACTGCAGCATTTTTCTCCAGTAAAAGACACAGGTCTACAACCACCCCCAAGCTCATAACTGAGTCTAACAGAAAAAGACTTACCCTATCTTTTAACTGATGTGAATATGTTAGGTCATTACATGATTTTCTTGATTATTGTAATACTATACCCCCTTAGAAACAGAACAGAAAAGGGACTTTGCATAAGGATGTAAAATTAGATAAGAACAGAAGCCAAAGGGTACATTATAGTCCCCACTTTCTTTTGTCTACTTTGCATAGGAAAGTAGAAACTTCGCATAAGTAACCCACCATATCTTCAGATCATGGCACAACTCTGGTTTAAAAATCGTTAAAACTTTTCTGAATATGGATTAGCAACCAGATTGAAGTAACTGAAATATCAGAGGATATGTATCTGTGACTTGGGATGACTGAAAATAATCAGCTATGGTTGGGAAAATAGTCAGATGTGGCTTACTAAATCCACACTTAATGGAAAATAAAGTTAGAAAAAGCGGTTTAATGATAGCTGCTACACTAAGTGGAATGCCTAGAAAAATACACATGCTATCAGAGTCAATTATATGATCAAAGCTACATTCCTGTGCACACTTACCCAAAATAAGCTTCATTGAACACAGTGTGGGTTACTTCTGAGTAAACATATTTAGAATTCGACAGTAAATCTGTGGCAGTTCAGACCAAAACAAGACTTCTGAAAGCAGCAGACTTGTTCCCTGAAATGAATACCCGTTAAAGAGTCTGGGTTTTATGGCTGCAAGGACATCCCATCTGAGTTATATTTTGCTTTCCAGTGCTTTTGAAGTTTACTGTGGAACCTGATATATTGGAAGTCCTGCCAGGCTCCCTGGGAATGGAGACATTGTTTTCAGTGAGGTCTTTCTTGGTTGAAATCAGTGGAGGAAACTAAACAAAGAGGTTTTGAAGGCTGTCTTCCAAATCAAGCATGGAAGAAATAATATCTAAGAACATCTGGGGAAAAGGTTCAACAGGAAGGAGAAGGGTTTATATGCCCCCATTGTTCAAACTCGTGTGCTAGTAAGAACCTTACATAACCTTGCTCATAGCTCTTGAGTTCTAGTTTTGGTTGGATCCCGGCAGTGCTATCAGCTAATATCTGAAGAGGGAGCTATTAAATCAGAGACAGAGAGAAATTTACTTAGGAATGCAATGTGCCATTTTTGAGCTTGATCTGCTGTTTTGTATGTGCTCAGTTTGGTAATCCTTAACAAAGCATTAACTATAAGACAGATGTTAAGAATTTCTGAAAAAGTAATACATTAAAATGTGTCATGATATTGTATATGGTTCATTCAAATCAAAATACTTTGATTCACCCAAATCAAAATGCTTTGCAAAGGGTTGAGAGGTATAGAGCTTAACTAGATAAGACACAGGGAGTTTTGTGATTGGCTCTTCCTAGCTTTTTTCCCCTTTCAAAATAGCAGCCTCATGGAGCCCAAATTTAGCTCATAACTGCAGAGAAACATTAACACTCTCCTCCTGTGCCTTTGGCCTGGCAAAAATGCCCCTACTAAGCTCACATTTGCTCTATTGGAATGAAGCAACCTATAGGTAAATGGCAGCTTCTTAGGTCAGTTTCCAGTTGGGACACTGGCAAACAGAACATGCCTTGCTGGTTAAATTAAATTCCTTCCAACTTTTGGATCCAAAATTACTAAGCCAGTTATAGCCATTTTTATGATGGTACCACAATATCTGTGACAGTACTCTGCTTTCAATTTCCATTACGTTTCAGTTTCCCAGGGAGTAGGGTTGCCAGGTGTCTGTTTGGGGGTGGGGTTTCCCTCACTGGCCAGCTGAACAGCGGTGGGCCAGAGTGAACAAATACAGGGGAGCCCCCAACCCAACCAGGAACCTGGCAAGCCTACCAGGGAGCCAAAGACTCAAGGTGGAAGACTGACACTATAGAATTTTTGTCTGAAAGGGATTCTGTCCAGCCAGAAGAGTTAGCCTATATTTAAGTCACAAAAGATCACCATGAAAGCATTTTTCTCCAATCACAATGCTAGTTCTCTGGATTTGGGAAGCCTGTCATAAGCTCTCTACTGGAGTCATTATAGCTATCAAGTGTTAGCTTTATTAAATGAGCAGGACAATGCTTTTCTTGTATACTCTGAGAGAAGGTGAGGGCAGAATACAGGCAGAGGTTTCCTTGACCTTGTTCAATTCACTGCCCTCAAGTTTAGCATCATCAGAGACAGAAGCTTTGCTTATATACTTTGTAATGCACATATTCTCTAGTGCCACTCAGGGGTGGGACAGCTAAATACCTAGGGTTGCCTGCTCTGGGTTGGGAAACACCGGGAGATTTGGGGGGTGGAACTTGAGGAGGGCAGGGTTTGGGGAGGGGAGGGACTTCAATAGGGTGTAATGCCATAGAGTCCATCTTCCAAAGAGGCCATTTTCTCCAACTGAACTGATCTCATTCACCTGGAGATCCAACTGAACTGATCTCTTTCACTTGGAGATCTGTTGTAATAATGGGAGACCTCCAGCCACCACTTGGAGCTTGGCAACCCTATAAATAACAGAGGCCAATTTTCCTTTGCTCTGTTGTCTCCCCTCCCCCATCCACAATAGGCGGCCCCATTGCTTTGCAGAGTGGAGGCTGAAGCCCCTATCTTCCCCCCCAAAAAAAAATTAAAAAAGAATTGGGCAAGGCTAGAGAAGGATCAGCTCTCCCTGCAAGAAAATCTCATCTAAAAATAGCCCAGGGATTACCAAATTATGCATGAGTCTGCCATTCTCATGTAAAGTAGGGGTGGAAGTGTGTGTGTATACATATACTTCAGTCTCATGCTCTGTGTATGTATGTCTCAGAGAGCATGAGACTGAAGATAAAGCTCCATGTCTTTCTTGCCTTATCATACTGGACTGTGCTGTAGGGAGCCTTTAATTTTCTCCAAGTAAACCCATCAGCTCCTCAGTGATTACTGGGAAGTAAGTTATCCACAAAGCAGCAGAAAAATGCTCAAATGAATGGACCTAGAAGAAGAAGAGATTGGATTTATACCCCACCCTTCACTTGGAGTCTCAGAGCGGCTTACAAACTCCTTTCCCTTCCCTTCCCCTCCCCACAACAGACACTCTGTGAGGTGGGTGGGGCTGAGAGAACTCTGACACAATCTGCTCTTTCAGGAACTGCTGTGCCAGAGCTTGTGACTGACCCAAGGTCACATCAGCAGGTGCAAGTGGAGGAGTGGGGAATCAAACCCGGTTCTCCCAGATTAGAGTCCGCACACTTAACCACTACACCAAACTGGCTAGTATAGGGATTGGATGGACATATGCAATTTCTGTTTAGAAATGGATCCAGAATCCCAGCAGTGGGAAAGGACAGAAGGAAAACTCATCCTTACCCCTCCATGTGTCTGCCCCTCCTGGGCAAGGGAAAATTTCAGAGGCCAAAAAATGGAGGTCCTTTCACTACTCTGTCTGCTGTTTGGCGGGAGGGGGGGGGCTTTGAGAGTTCAACCGCAACTGAACAGGGAAGAAAAAATAGATTTGCCTGCAATATGAAGTTGAAGATCCCTTTCCCTGCAGCTTCAATCCTAATTGATTGGGAGACATACAGTACAATCCTAGGAACATTTTGCAAGGAGTAGTCTTGGGTAGGATTCTGAATAAATCTGCTTCAGGTTGCCCCTCTGAGAACATAAAAAGTGTCCTGCCGGATGAGACTAGTGATCCATCTAGTCAAGCAGCCTGTTGCACACAATGGTCAACCACTTGCCTTGGGTGGCCAATAAGCAGCGCGTAGAGGCCAAGGCTTTCCCTTGATGTCACCTCCTAGCACTGGTATTCAGAAGCTTGCTGCCTCTGGACATGAAGGTTTCTTTTAGTTATATTGGGTAATAGGTAATGATGGATCAACCCTCCAATTATCTATCTAATGCCCTTTTTAATTTCTGTGGCCATCACCACTTCCAATAGCAGCAGATTCCACAATCTAATAACTCACTGAGTGTACAAGTCCATTTACCCATCCTGAATTTATTCCCCACCAACTTCATAGGATGCCCCTGGGTTCACCCTGCCCATCACTTACCTTTTATCTCCTTTTTTCCCTCCCCCCCCCCCCGGTATCATTTGCTAAACTGAAAATCTCCAGACTCTCCAACCTATCCTCACAAGAAAGATGCTCTGACACTTGAATCATATTGGTTGCCCTCAAAACCAGTTTCAGTTGGGAGTATGACTTCCACTTAAATCCATTGCCCAACCCTAAATGCACAATATAGTGATATGAAATAATCCAAATACATTTTTAATGAAGCAAACCAGCTGAATCTGAGTGAAATTTTGGTGCACATCCCTCCTGGACACATTTCATTGCTATCCAGCTCACAATTTGACCAGCAGTGGTTTAGTTTTAAATTACTGCTGGAGAATCCAAGGACCCCAAGATAACCTGGAGCAAAGAATACTAGTAAAGTGAACACAGAGTAATTATGACTAACTACCTGGGCAGAAACAGTTGTATAGATCATCATTCCAAAGGCAGCATCTTTCATTCTCCCTGAAATTGCTCATAGTTTGAACTGTACATTTCTCCCAAATAGTACTTTCAGAATGCAGTGCAGATAAATCATTAGTCAATACAATTACCAGTTTGCACCTTACAACACTACGAGCAGATAAGTTTCCTTTGGTTTGGCAGGTATACCTTACATCTTACCTTCAGCTCATGCATGTTTTCTGTCTCCACAGTTCACCTGTATAAATGTGCTGCCCAGCGCGAAAGCTGTGGGTTGTGCCTGAAAGCAGACCAGAAATTTGAATGTGGCTGGTGCACTGTAGAAGGGAGGTGCACTCTGCGTCAGCACTGCCCCTCTTCTATTGGGGGATGGGGAAGGTGGCTTGCCTGGGCAAGCAGGA